TCCCACACTCCAGGAAAGGATTTCCCACACTCCAAACACAGATGTGATCCATTCCCTGTGTGCACCGTCTGGTGGATCAAAAGGAGAGACTGGTGAGTAAAGGATTTCCCGCACTGAGAGCATGTGGTGAGTCTTCCCAGCTTCCCCTGAGAGGGGGTTCGGTTGAAGGGTTTCCCCCCCTGCATGGTTTCCGGGGGCTGCTCCCTTGCAGGGCTTTCTAACCAGAGACAATTTGCAAGCAAAACATTGGCCACAGGTTTTTCCAGTCAGCACCTGCTGGATGAAGGAAAAAGTGAAGAAGTGAGGAAGTTTCATTGTCCAGCTCCAAAAATAGCCCAAACAATAGCTAGGAGACCCCTTACATGAGCTATGCAGGTGTCCCCAAACCTCGATTCCACCTACCTGAATCTAAGGAACGCTGGGATTTTCCCTGTGAATCTGACCTGAGATCTCCCCTCTCTGTTTCTTAGCACGGTGGGAGGGAGACACGCTGCAAGGATATACCATCTATATGTATGTGTTAGATTATCCATACATATAGATCATATATCCCATGTAGGTATATGTGGACACGGTTCTTTTTGCCACTACAGACTAACATGGCCCTCCTCCTAGAATCACTTCCTGTTCCTTCTTTATGGTTTAGGGAGGGCATAAATCTATTCGTGAAGGTCTGCAATACTTCATGTTGCGGGCCAATTCAGCCCTCCATTTCTGAAAGGCAGCCTCGTCTCCCCAAGAATGTCCTACCTGCCCAGGTCAGACTTTGGGCTCAGCCCTCAAACAGATGCTTTTCGCATCCACCCAACCCTGGAATTACTCCACCAAGGATGCTAGGTCCACAAATCATGATTAAACCAATCATGGTTTAGCCAAGGGGCGTGTAGCTTCCCAGCTGAAAACAGCTCCAGACAAGGTGCTGAGGAAGGGGGTCCCTCCCGGGCGGGGGAAACCACCTCAGCCCGGGTCCCCGAAGCCCCTCCTCCCCTCCGAGGACCCCCGAC